TACGTCTCCGCTCCTCACCTCGAGGAGATCTCCACTATCACAACCGGGTTTTCTACGTTCACCCGAACAACGTTTACACCTCACAATACAACCACTATGCAATCACACCTTACACACTAAGTGTTGGTCCTAGCCCGTGTCCTCCTCCTCAAGTGCTCGGTTACAACCTCTCCCTAGGCACGTCAACCGACGCCACTCCTCTTGGATTCGACCCCGTCTCTCACCACACACTTCTCTCGGTGTACAAGTGTATTACAAGTGAATCCTCACAATTAAGCACAATATAAATCAATTGATTGTTCTCTAAACAAGGTGAGAACTCAATTAAGCTCACTCTCAATGTCACAAACCCACAACCCTAAATTATACTATGAATGTAAATACAATAAGCTCAATAGGTTGTGTGTGAACAAAGAGTATCAATAAAACAATTAAACTAAACTCAAATATAAATCTAGCTTATGGAAATTATAATAAAAATAATAAATTGCTAGATGAGTTTAGAAACACTTCTCTAAAGATGACAAGAGAGTAGGAGAAGAGTGAATGCTCAAACACCAAAGGATGATCTCTACTTGCTCTTGTGAAATTGAATTCACAATCTCAAACTCTTGTAAATGCTTAAAAGCTTTTTAAACATACACTAAAACCCTTAAACAAAACTATTTAAACTTGTTTTTAAAACTCTCTTAAAAACTTCTTTTCATGTTGCAAACAAAATGATCAGCAATGGGGGTATTTATACCCTAAAAACTCAGGTCAAAACCCAAAACAAATGACAGAAACAGTCGCAGAAGACAGCTCAGAAAATAGCCGTTAGTGGTCCTAACGAGTTATTGGCGGTCGACTCGACATAAGTTCATTCGACCAGAAGAACGAATTGTTCTGACCCGGCAAAATCAGTCGACCGCGAGCAAGTCTGAAAAAACAAAGAAACAAGCAGAGACTTCGTCAGTCGACGGCGGCTGGCGGTCGAGACCGAATGGAGCTTTCCAGTCGACCAGTTCCGGTCGACCGAACAGACTCTCTGTCGCCACAGTGAAGAAAGATCAAATGACTCGTCGCCGGTTCGGTGACCGAATACTGACACATGAGAAAACAGGTTTTGAAGCTGTATAATCTTAACTGTTTGAAACAGCTGATTTTTAAATATTCAAATAAATTCCAAAATGTAAACTTTTGGGGATGATTGTAGAACATGATAATAAACTGCTAAAATGACCTCAAATTGACAAATATATCATTTTACATGAAGTCCTGTTCGGGGGAAATAGTTTTCTTCATATGAATTCATTGGTGATCCAAAATAGAAACTTTTTATTGGTTTACAAACAGATCCAGTCTTTTTTAGATCCGGTTACAACGAAATCAAAGAAAAAAAAATATAAAATTACAACTTTCTCTTTGTGTGAAGAATCGCGGAGCATCCTGTTTTTGGTCGCTCGCTTTGTGGTTCTTTGCCAAACGCCGGGTTTAATACCTGGACCGCCCGCACAATGCTAGATCCGGTGATTCTAACGATTTTGAACGGGTATTATCCACGAAGGGAATAATAGCCGGGAGGGATTGTTACTAAGTGAATAATCGCTCTTTGATCTCGGGATCTAAGACGCAAGCTTAGATCGGCAGTGTGATCCTCGTGTAGATCTCAGATCTGTTCTTCCCTCTCCTCGAACTCTGCTTTTGTGACAGTGGATGCTGCCGAGGATCAATTTCTGATGCAATGTCTTCAAGTCTTCAAAACCTAAGCTGCGGTCTTTCAATCGGCAGAGTTTCGTCTGAAAAAGTCACTCTTTAAAATGATACAAAAGGGGGCCTGATTTAAGGCTACCCTCATGTGCTTGGCACAGTGCAACACAGTTACCGGCACCTTGAGCTGGCCGGCTCTAGGCGCGGCCACATCAAGGTGGATCGCACCGAGCCACGCTCAGGGTGGCTCGGCTTTGGCGAGCCACTTGAGGCGCTCGGTTTGGCGAGCCACTCTGGGTTTGCTGTTTCCGTAGTTTTGCGCTGTATCCATTTCTGCGTTCTGTCCGTGAATTGGTTGATCTTAAGATTACTGATTTGGTTGATCTGTATTTTGAGCAGTAATCCGCTTCTGATTTGGCAGTAAATCTGCTTCTGAGTTCGACGTCCCGAATCTGATCTTGATTCGATCGGTGATTCATCCGAGTTTTGTCTTTGGGTTGGGATCACTCGTTTGACTTCTTCAAGCACTTGGCTTGATTCGCGAAGCAAGAATGGATTTATTACGTTGCTTGCGTGCGTTCGTGGATCGTTGGTTCGCTCGGTTTGTGCGAGCTGTGGCTAAGGGACCTATAAGCAAATATTATATGCTCTACAGATCCCTCCAAAGATTTCAGTCTCGTTCTTATATAAGAGTCTGGAATACTTTGATTATATTGTCCCAACCTATCTAGTCGGGCGTTGGACTTTGGAATCGAACTTGCCGTTTTGATTCCTTAATCTTCAGGCTTTCGATGCTTTGTCGAATTGTCTGTAAGAGTTCCGTGCTCGCATTTATTGTCTGAACCTGTTGTCGATTTTGAAACTGAAGTCGATTCCTAGGACTTCTATCTTTAGCTGACATCGATTGTTGGCGTCGAGCTTTATTGCAACGCGCTTGTCGGCGTGTGTTGTTGAGTTACTCCTTAAGAAATTTTTAGAAAATACTCTCCCATGAAACTTCTCAAGCCAACATTAAGGAACGTTTATACCATATAACCCTTATTGGAGTATTTCTGTCCACCAAATGAACTGAACCGGTCTTGACAAGTGAACCCAAAAAGACAGTAATCTGGCTAAAAAAATCCTCCGACTCTTGCGATATATGGGAGAGGAGTGAATAATAGAATAGGCGTTAAACGTCGGTCGTAATTGAAGTCGTTTCGAACTCGGTTCGGCTCAATTTAGATTCGGGAAACCGAGCGCCGTCGGTTCGGTTTGGTCTGGTTCAAGCCCGGTTCACCCTATAAAAGGGGTCTTTTTTCTTTTCTTCCCCAATCACGCTAGGGCCGGCCACATCTTCTCCTCTTTTTTGAATTTCTCTTCCCTCAGGAGCATCCGTTCCGCTCAAACTTGATATTTGTCTTGAATTAGCCTTCCTTTGATCTTCTGACTGAGAAATCCTTGATAGCTTCCATTTTTAGAATTTCTTCAGGCCCCCTCGAGCGCGTGGTTCGAGCAGTTTTCAAGATCTAATTTTTATTGGATCTTCGAGCTTTCCTCTCAGTATATCTTCCATAATTTTGCATTTTTTTATGCTTAATTTAATTTGAACTTGTGGGATCATCGAGGTTAGGAGTTATGATGGCGCCTCGAGCTTATCTTTCAGGGGGTAGAATTCAATAAAAAGAGGATTTTTTTCTAGATCTGACCTCCTTGATTTATCTTGCAGGATCATCTGTGCGTGTCTCGAGAGGTCGCTCCCTGCTGCATCAGCTGATGGCCGTTCCTCCTATGGCTGGTAGCATTTTGGCATATTCGAAAATTTACAAATTAGCGGCTCTTTTTCTGAAATGTTGTAAATTGGTCTTTTGCCCACGTTGTTCTCCTTGGTGAGGCAATCGGTGAAGAGCCTTGATTCTCCTTGGTGGGATTGACTGCTTTAAGCTTGGTTTTTGCTTGGCAAAACCACATCTCATAATAAAGGGAGCGTTTTTGAGCGCTCGCATTATGCCTTTAAAAGGTAGGGATTATATTGTCGATATACCCTAACTCTTATAATGCCACAATGTGGCCAAATCGTCTCACACCTTTATAAGTATCGACTCTATCATTACCGATTTGTAGATGAGTTCAATTCCTTTAATATCTGAAATTAACAAAAACTTAATTGCTTGTTTTCAGTGAGTATGCCTCACGAGCTTATTCGTCTCATGCGCGTGAACGACGTCGTGAACGAGTATTATTCGAACGTCTGATGATTTTTCGCACATTCACGCTTACTTTTCAGTTGCCGGCACGTCGACAGAAGTTCTCAGGTGGTGAAGGAAGGTGGACATCGAGCCCTTCGCAGCTGATTTAGCAGATGCGCCTCTTGTAAAGGATGCTAGTTCCGTTCCAATCCTCATGAAGACTCGACTTTTCTGTTTGGCGACTAACCCGTAAGAGGATGCCCGTGCCGCATTATGCTGACGCGAGCAGTGTGCCATAGACTCAATGTGGCTTCCTTATATTTGCGAAGATTCCTCGGCATCTTTCTTTGAACTGACTCAGGCGTCAGGCTGTGAAACGGGAGATGTCCGTGTGTTTGAAGAGAGCATGAGAGCGTTCATGCAGCTATACTTCTCATCAGCAAGTTCTGGTTCGAGAGCGGCATCAGCATGTTGGCACTGGTCCCTGGAGTACTGGGACTATGATGCAACCGCCCGTAACGAGTTCTCGCCTGCTGCTTCTACTTGAGGAATCGCCTGCTAAGTAGGGCAGGAGATGCCTGCAACCGCGCCACCAGATTCTATGGTTGGGTCGCTTCTTTGGACAAGTTTTTTAGGTGGGCTCGTATAACGAAGTAACGTCTTATACGAATTGGAGCGAGGAGTTGCACGCTTGCCGTCTTTATGCGGCCATTCGTGCCACCATGCTATGGTCTACTATTAGTGCGAGCATTCTTCGCTTGTGGCGGCTCATAACCCAGATCCAAAACTTTTCTGACCCGGGCAGAGGTGGGCTCGGCTCTTCATGAGAATGCATAAATTCTGGTTTGGCTAATGTCAGATGTTATCCGAGGAGTATATTTCCTTCAACGCATGAATTCGAGTCAGCTAACAGGATGCGCATGCCGACCGCATGAGACTTTACTGGACCTCACTATTTATATCATATTGCTTTGGCACAGTCCTAAAGCCTTTAGCGAAGAGGACCCGATGTGAGCTGAAGCAGTTTACCATCATATGTTCAACGAATGCTGAACCATTTTGGCAAAATATTTGTGAACTGGCACGCTTACATCCTTCAGAGGTCCATGATCGGCTGAAGAAGTTGACAGCTCGCTCCTATACAATAGCATGTCCTGAAGCAGCTTTCCCTGCAGGGACGAAGTTCAGATCATTTATTGCTGCGGACTGCGCCGATTCGTCGCGATGCACCCTTCTGCCGGTTCCCATCGCCATCTGGTTAAGAAAGCGTGGTCGTAAATCAGTCTGGGTAGTCTTGGCCACTGGAGTGCTCTCCTGCGGTTCAAACTTGCCTAACAGAAAGGACCTTTCCCTTCTTCCTATTGAATGTGCTCACTATTCATCGAGGGCTTCGACAGATTTCTGGTGCTTTTACAGCGGGAGGAGATGACGCCGATCAATTCTACCACTAAGGTGGAGCTTCCATATATTTATTTGATGGCATTGGTTCGTCCTTCCCTCGTTCTGACATTGATGTCGGTACCCCATGCCTGGACGCACGCTCTGTCCCTTATACACGCTGCTTGAGAAGTGGCGAGTGGGAAGGCGGGATTCTCTGATATCAGGAGGCAGCTACAGTCACAAGTGTTGGGCGTTCTCTACTTGATTTTCGCCAGTTCTCCACGCCGGTATGAGATGTTTGATTGATGAGAGAAGAGGGAGTTCGGCCTTATTTAGAATATCGTCGCTTTAATTGGCCTAAGTGAACATCAGGCCGGGCTACTGCCTTTCCGGGTGGGAATCAGTGTTTTATAGAGCAGTATTACCTCGCGATTCGCTCCGATCAGTTCGGTTATGACAGCTTTATATCGGAATCCGATGCCAGCAAGCTTCGGCCTCATGGAGGTTTGGTGGAAACGGCTTCGGGCATGGTTGTGACCGTGACAGCTGGCAAGTGCTAGGTTCTCTCGCGGTGCTGAGCGACAGTTGAACCTCACTTTTTTGAGGCTACAGGTGGTTGTTAGTTCAGCTAATTAAGACTGTCCCTTTGAAGCCTATTGAACGAGGTTGGGTGGGCGAAGAACTTATCAGCATTGACTTCCATTGTGATCCGTGATGGTGCTGCGTTCACAGGGGCGTGGGGGCAAGACTCCCGACTTTGAGGCAGAAGGTATAGGGCCTTGAGTTCTGGCTGGAGAGGCCTCCAAGGCGAGATCCTGCAGACTACGGGCAGGATTTCGAGCGAGGTTAATCACCCATTTTTCCCTCATATTTTCCGAATTGTTAGTCCTGATCCCTATCCGCATATTTCAGGAGCACCCATGCGACCAATAGTGAAGAGGATTCCGTCCTTTTGCCCCGGGCAAAGATCTTCGAACGCTATCCGTGCTGATAGGCGAAGAGACTACCCATAAGCCGCCTCGCGATTCACGAAGGTCTGGGATGGATTTTGGCTGTGATCGATCATGCTAGCGACAGAGGTAACATCTACTCTCAATAGAATCGTTCTCATTGATCGTTATAGAATTTCAGGCTCATAGCTTTCGCGCATCTAATGCGAGAGCGGAAAGAAGGCAAGATGAGTTCTCGATCCTGCTCACTCCTGAGTTTTTGTATCTTCTGGTAGCCTATCACGTACCAGGTAGAAAAGCCTGGCAGAAGCTGCCGACTTTAGAGCCTACTATGATACGGACTGATTCAGTGAATCCAGATACATTCTTATGAGGAGGTAACCTCATTTCATTGGTCATAGTCTCTTTTATTATTCTTTCGCAGCTTATACTCATCTTGTGTAAGAATTTTTCAGTTGAGACGATTTCGACGGGAGGTTTGCTCTGGACACTTCTATGTTCCACTTCATGTATGCTATCCTCAGATTGATGGCCAACTGCCCGAGGATATGTTTCCTACTGCACTCGCCTCAAGGATGACCGAGAACGGTTCTTCCTGAAAGGTACGTGCCATCTTCTCAAGTTATTAATAGGACAAGCCAATTTTTTGGCTATGCGCACTATAATTGTGATGTGTTATGATTCTTTTGTGCTTAATAAGCTTTTGTTGATACTAGACCCTGTGAAGCCGGCTGTGAACCAACTCCAGCAGTTTACATCCTACAGTCGTCCACACTCACTACCTCCAGTGGACTCAAGGAGAACGGACGGTATGAATTAAGCATTTACGAATATCCTTTATTTTTTTATTAAAACTTCTAAATTCTTGACAGATTTTCCTTCTGTGTAAGGCTTCCTCTCGGCTTCATGTCTCTGTGAAGGAGGTTATCGGACAATACCTGAGAAGATCGTCACTGCATAGAAGTCCTCTCTTTCATTCTCCTTTATGAATGCTAATCTGGCAAACCTTCCGCGACGACTTTCCCTTCACTCCAGTTTAAACTTAACCTTGATTCAAGATAACATTTAATAAGAGGAATAGATATCCCGGATCTGGCGACGCTATAGTTTGATACGATTGCTGTTCCTAGAGCATGGATTCCAGATGTTCGAGCTCCGAATGGAGGTGCCTCTCATCATTGCTGCTGAGTTGGATACTCATCTTACAGTCATGGCGCAGTACTCGGAATGGTCGGCTGACTGAGATTCAGGTGCGCGGGGCCGAATAGATCGAGTTGAGGTAGACCTTGTAACTAAATCATCTCACCTCACCAAGCTGATGCCTCTTCACCTCTTGTAGACCCAGATAGACCAGCTTACCAAAGAGAGCTCATGAGAAAAGGAGACTTTGATTAATTTTCGATGACGAAGACACAGGATCAAGCAGGCTCACATCGCTTTATCAGATGAGCTGAATATTCTTAACAGCAGCTGGTCGAACAGAAGAGGTTTGTGGACTTTGGCCAACCAACATTAAGGAACAGTTTATACTCATATACCTTATTGGAGTATTTTCTGTGCCCAAATGAACTGAACCGGTCTGACAATGACCCAAAAAAGACAGTAATTAGGCTAAAAAAATCCTCCGACTCTTGCGATCATATGGGAGAGGAGTGAATAAATGATAGGGTTAAACGTCGGTCGATTTGAAGTCGTTTCGACACTCGGTTCGGCTTCAATTTAGATTCCGGTTCAAAACCGGTCCGGTCCGGTTCGGTTTGGTCTGGTTCAAGGCCGGTTCACCCTATAAAAGGGGTCTTTTTTTCTTTTCTTTTCCCTCACCTAGGGCCGGCCACCTCTCTCTCCTCTTTTTTTGAATTTCTCTTCAATTAGTCCTCTTTTTTCTGGATATTTGCAAATTGGTCCATTTTACCCCCCGTTGTTCTCCTTGGTGAGGCAACCGGGAAAGGCCTTGGTTCTCCTTGGTGAGGATCGACGCTTTATGGAAATTTTGCAAATTAACCCTCTTCTTCTGAGAATTTTGCAATTTAGTCCTTTTACCCTATTTTGCTCTCCTTGGTGAGGCGATCGGGAAAAGCCTTGATTCTCCTTGGTGAGGATCGACGCTTTAAAGATGGGTTTTGCTTGGTCAAAACCACATCTCATAATAAAGGGAGCGTTTTGACGCTGCATTATGCTTTATAAGGTAGGGATATATTGTCGATATACCCTATCTTATAAATGCACAATGTGGCCAAATCGTCTCACCCTTTATAAGGTAATGACTCTATCTTACCGATTTGTAAGATGAGTTCAATTTCCTTTAATATCTGAAATTAACAAAAACTTAATTGCTTGTTTTCAGTGGAGTATCCCTCCGGAGCCTTTTCGTCTCATGCGGTGAACGGACGTCGTGACGAGTATTATTCGACGTCTGATGATTTTTCGCCCATTCCGCTTACTTTTCAGTTTGGTCCGGGCACGTCGACAGAGGTTGCCCAGGTGGTGAAGGAAGGTGGACATCGAGCCCTTCGCCAGCTGATTACAGATGCGCCTCTTGTAAAGGATGCTAGTTCCGTTCAATCTCTCAGGAAGACTGACTTTTTGTTTGGCGACTCTGTCAGAGATCCCGATGCAGCATTTATTGACGCCGAGCAGTGGCTCCATAAGACTGGCAGTGGCTTCTTATATTTGCCGAAGATTCCTCGGCATCGTTCTTTGACTGAGCTCAGGCGTCAGGCTGTGAAACGGGAGATGTCGTGGCGTTTGACAGAGGAGCATGAGAGCGTTCACTGCGGCTATATTACTCATCAGGCAGTTCCTGGTTCGAGCAGGGATCACATTGTTGGACTGCGTCCTGGAGTACTGGGACTAGATGCACCGCCCCGTAACGAGTTCCTCGCCTCTGCTTCTACTTTGAGGAATCGCCTCGCTAACTTAGGGCAGGAGATGCCTGCACCGCGCCACAGATTCTATGGTTGGGTCCATTCTTTGGACAAGTTTTGGTGGGCTCGTATGACGAAGTACGTCTTGAGCCGATGGAGCGAGGAGTTGCACGCTTGCGGTCTTTATGCGGCCATTCGTGCCACCATGCATGGTCTACCTATTAGTGCGAAGCATTTCTTCGCTTTGTGCGAGCTCTATAACCCAGATTCCAAAACTTTTCTGACCAGGCACAGAGAGTTGGGCTTGGCTCTTCATGAGATGCATAATATTTCTGGTTTGCTAATGGGTCAGATGTTATACCAGGAGTATTTTCCTTCCAACCATGAATTGAGTCAGCTAAAGGATCGCATGCCCGACCGCTATGAGACTTTATGGGACCTCACTTGTCACTATCATATTGCTTTGGCACAGTCTAAGCCTTTAGCGAAGAGGACCAAATCGAATGTGAGCCTGAAGCAGTTCGCATCATATTTGTTCAAGAATCTGGAGAGCCATTTTGGCAAAACTATTTGTGAACTGGCACCGCTTACTCCTTCAGAGGTCAATGATCTGCTGAAGAAGGTTGACGCTCGCTCCTATACCAATAGCAGTCCTGAGAGCAGCTTTCCTGCAGGTCCGGTGATGGTTGCTAACATTCATCGAGGGCTTCGGCAGATTTCTGGTGCTTTTACACGGAGAGATGATGATAAACCGACTCAGATTCCTACCATTAAGGTGGAGCTTCCGTATATTTATTTGATGGCTTGGTTCGTCCTTCATCGTTCCGATGTGATGTCGGTACCGAATGCCATAGACCAGTCTGTTCCCTTTCTACAGCTGCTTGAGAATGGCGAGTGGGAGGGCCGAGGATTCCCCGATATCAGGCGTCAGCTACAAGTCCACAAGTGCTGGGCATTCTCCACTTGCTTTCCACAGTTCTCCAGCCGGTACGGCGAGTGTTTGATTGATGAGGAGAAGCCGAGGGAGTATAGGACTTATTTGGATATGGGCTGCTTTAAT